CAAAGGGTGCTTAATAGCCAGAGTTCAATCCATACCCAAAAAGGAATCCTCATTATAATATAGTCAACTAGTATTAATCTGGCCTCTGTTTGAACATTTTCAACAAGGGGGAACTCATTCCTTCCCAAGGCATCGGTACCTACCATGACAAGATTTATTGTCTTCTTAACATAAAAAAAAAATTCTCACTCTTAAAAATAAAAAGTTAAACATTTATTTTTTTGGTTGGGAGTCATCTTCACAACTGAGATAAGAATATGCACAGAACAACCATTTGTATAAGATTCAAACTTTAAAACCAATAATTCAAGCTTTTCCACAAAAGTAAGTTCCAGATGTAAAGGAAATCTCACTTCATCATGAAGAACTGGCTCTAACAGAGATGGACAGACATCTAGGAAATATATCACTATTTTATCTGCAATAAGAAACGTGTGCTCTCAAAGTCTGCTTTATTGTTACAAAATGGGAGTTTCCAGAGAAGTTAAAAGTGCAGAATTATGACTGTAAAATTCTCATGAGAACAAGTTGTAATCCAGCCATTCTTCACATATAGACTCAAAATCACAGTAGTATGAAAATGTCAGGCAAGGAAGAAAAGTTGATAAATACAATTCTCTTGGATATATACATAAACATTTTCATGTAAACTGTAAACAGCCAAAACAAAGATCAATTATTATCATCAATATTAATAGCTTTTTACAAAAGACCACCATTGGCAACAGATTTATATAGATTAAGAGTTATGACTGAAGTTCATTTTAACTCATGCTTTGATTGAACTTGACTAGAATAGCAGAGTAACAGAAATCGAGTTCATCTTGACCTTCCTTTTTCATATACTTCCCATGAAGCCACATAGAATGAGTTAATAACTAATGATACTTCTCTACGGAGAAGGAAAAAATATGTAAACATTTATCCTCAAATGAACTTCAGAATAATGATTTTTAAATTTCCAATCACTTCTTGTTCCTCCAATAATTTGAATGTGAAGAGGTCTGTAGACAAGGGAAACCTGATAGATAGCCAAGGGCTTCATCTAAGACAAATGTCAACAAATAAGGAATAATAGGTATGCATATTTTATTCACCATGTGCATCAGAAGCTAATATCAATCTCAGTCCTCATCTCCAACACAGCTGCAAGCATTAAGTTGGGGGGAAAACGAGAAACGGACGACTATATGGTTGTGATTTCTAAAAGACTGAGGATAGAAGAGAAGGACATAACTTAATTCACCAAAGAAATAATTCAGTTTAGTTTGCAACATGGACTTTTCTTCTTTTTTTCAAGAGCCTTTTAAAAATCAGTTCTAGATCCTGTGAATGGTAATAAACAGTAGGAGCATATTGAGTGGTGTCCAACAAAAAAAAAATAAAAGTCGTAAATAGTCAACAAATAAAGATTCTGCACCTGGTGGTACAAATTTAAATGCTAATTTTAAACAAACCAGAAAAAGTCAAATCTCTTTAAAGGTACTACAGTGAAAAGAACATTGAACAGGACCTGAGATCAAATTCTAGAAATGCTTATTTTATTCCATAAATTAAAAATAAAATTTAATAATAAAAAAATTATGTCACTTATTACCTATGTGACCTGGGGTAAGTCCTTCAAGCTCTCTGGGCCTCAATTCCCTCTTCAGTAAATGAGGGAGACCTCTGAGATCTCTTTCCAGCTCTAGATACAAGATCTTATGATCCCTAAATGTGACCTAGAAATTCCATTAGAGGATCAAGGGATTTTCGAGGGTTATTAGCATTGCCTCCGGGTGTTACTGTTGACCTTTCAGGATCCTTTTAGCATTGCACAGCATCTCAACATATAATCCTGTCAAACGCTGCACTGTTCATAAGTAGTACTCTAGCACCCAACAAGCTATTCTTTAAAAGTAAAAGATAAAATTACAACTACCTGACAGAAATTTTAAAACAAAAAACACACACTGAATATAAACAACCGTGTAGGAGAATGTAGATTATACTGATTATTAGCCTTAAAGATTTATTCTCTCTTCAATTATACCAATTTAATACCTATTTTTAAAACCCAGTTAGTGACAAACTGGTTAAAGGTGAACAACACATTTCCATCTGACTAGTATAGACTATAGTGTTTCTATTTTACAAAAGCAAACATTCCCTTTAATTTGGTCACATTAATTTGGCCACAGAGTAGTTTGGGACTTCAAATATATTAACAAAACCCATAAATGCTGGACTGGTAATGAGGGTACCAATCAATTCAGGAACAAAAAGATGGTTAGAGAGATTCTGAAAAACTGTCACACAAGCACTATTGACATATATTCCATTATTTCATATTTTAAAGGGAAAAATATTGATAGCATCAAAACTTTCTTATAAGACCCCCTACTGACATCATAAGGAAAAACAGCAGGACTTTGTGGGAACAGTTTAGTAAATGTTAATCTATCCTTGGTGAATACTGTCAAACTTCTTATGCTAGCAACCAATATGTTTACTTGTGAATGAGAAGTTAGTGACCAACAGAGGTGACTATCACATGAAAATGACCCCAACCCAATATGTGAATCTACACAGAGTTACAAAAACCTTTAACTTGATAGCAAATGAATACCTTAAATCAGAGCCCCTGGGTTTTCGTACTTCCTTTAAACCTCCAAATCCACAGCTCTTCAGATGGTGCCATTCACTATACCAATATTGAGGAAGAGATGGGGAAGCAAAAAGTTCAAGGAAATACTAGAAAGCGATGTCATTATATTCTTCTGATTTGGATTATTCAAATATATATTTCCATTTCTGCAAACACTCATCTTTTGACCTATTAAAGATGATTAATTCCCTGAAATCACTGAAACTCTTGAACTGTTGAGGTTGGGGCTGAGGGTAGATACTATAAATCAGAAATATTAATAGTTATTACTTCAATTTGGTTAGAGCAGAGAAGCCCAAAGTTCAGTTCCTTATAGACCAGCTAGATTTAGTCTTTTGTTGCCCTTTTCTCATTCTATTTGGATGCTTTGTACACATGCTATAAATTACCACCAATAGTCAATAAGAACCTGTAATCCCAGTCAACAGAGAAGCTGAGGCCTGAGGTTCCCTTGAGCTCAAGATTTCTGAGCTATAGTAGGCTATGACATCTAGGTATCCACATAAAGTTTGGCATTAATATAGTCTGCCCCAATAGCAGAGGTTTCACCAGGTTACCTAAAGAGAGGCAAACCAGTGTAGAGTAGAAAAGGAGCAGGCCAAAGCTCACGTGCTGACTAGTAATGGGATCGAGCCCATGAGTAGTCCCTGCATTTCCAACCTAGTCGAGATGGAGATACTCAGTATATTTTTTAAAAGAATCAATAAGCAAGTGGAGGGGCAGTATGGATTCATCCTACTACTGGGAAAAAGAAAAAAAAAACTCAAGTACCTGTCCTACTCCAGTGAATGTGGCTCTGGTTTCTTAATCTATCCCATTCTCACTTATTAGTGAGAGATTTTCAATTCAGAGAATGCCTATGTCCCTAAATCCTGGCTTTGTTAGAGGTTGGCATTAACAAAGCTGATACACTGTCCCAACCCACATCTGTGGGCAGGCCTGGAAGGAACTACAGTCATAGCCCAGTAGGATCCTTGAACATGAGGGCTTATACAAAAGGCATTACAAATGCTACCCAACTGCTGATCTTCTCAGTCAATGAATCATCTCATGGCCCTGACGTTTCACTTAACTTTGCATGGAGGTTTATTTCTAACGTTCGGTGCATGATCAATTCTATAATTCTATACCCCATCCCTATATACAAGTTCTGGTCTATAAAACACCAAGAAAACTCTGAACCTCCTTAAATTCCTTCTTGGTTACTAAATGTAGCATACCCTGTACCCAAATAGAATGAGCAACTTTTTAGTCACTAAAATTAACCCTTATGACCTAAGACAACTTTCTCCTTTTCAATTACCATTTCCTATTTTATAGAGACAACATGGTACAGTGGTTAGAGATCTGGCTTTAGAGCCAGAAGACTTGAGTTCAAATCCTGGACTCTGACACATACTAGCTGAATAACCCTTGGCAAATCACTTAACTTCTCAGTGCTCTAAACAATGCTCTAAGGTTATATGTTGAAGAGAAAGCATCACCTTGAATTGGGAGAGATGATTTCCTTATCAAAGATTTCTCAATATTAATAAAATCACAGACCCAGTCCCTATCCCTATGTCTATCTGACCCCTACTATAACAAAAATACTGCTGAGTTTAATAACCTTTAATAGTTTCAGCCAATAAAACTGGGAACGAGAAGGAAAGATTAAAGAAACTGTATGCCTAGAATGAAAAAGAGCTTTTTTTTTTAACTAACACACTAGATTAAAATAAAATGAACCACATGTAAAAATAACTCAAAAAATATGTGGCCTAAAACATCAGATGAATTGAAGTTCGTAACCATTTCATAAAGTGCACCAAAGTAAATATTAATGACTTTTCAAATGTCATACCCCTAGAGTTTTATTATTATCATTAATAACAACTTAGTCATTATTTTTAATAATAATAATTAAATAGTTGACATTTTTCCACTGAGGAATGTAAGGTTTTTGGCTCCAATGCAATGGCAAAAAAGCAGCAGTGCCTTCCTAGGGGGAAAAAAACATGCAAAACTCAGTAAGAATACCTTAGCAGCATACAACAATACAACACACCTACAATTCAATGCAAAGTAGAGGCTCAATGAGCACTGAGAACAAACCCATTTATGTGGTAAGAGCAAAAAAAAAACAGGACCCACAACTTTTTCCCCCAAAGTGTGAGCTTCCCTTGAATCCTGGAGGTAACACCTATCATTTCTTCACTTCAGACATCCCTGGTAGCAAACAATAAAACCAATAAATAATTTCTCTCAACTTGTACATACATACCCATAAACACCCACTCAAATATACTCACGTGTACCTATATGTGAATGAATATATATACATATGTGTGTATATATTTGTATGTGTGTACATGTGTGTGTGCGTGTGTGTGGGTGTGTATAAGATGAGGAAACCATATTTTAAAAAATCAGTCAGAAGGTGGGAAAAAAACCACCACTCGTGTAAACATGCAATTGTTTTTGTTTCACACTACTGTTCGGTGCTCTGCACACACATACACAGCACTAGGGCGAATGCGTCGTTTTGTGTGGCCTGGGAGCTGTGGCAAAAACTTGAAGGACTTGGGCATTAAGTCTAGGCAGGCGTCATGAAATTTCTTGATTCTCCAGTAGTAAATCAGTGGGTTCAGAGCAGATTTGAGGTAGCAGAGCCAGAGTAGCCAGGTGCTGATCTCAAAGAAGTTGTGCTTGTAGTAAAAGTGGCTGTTAAATGTGGCCACGAGGCTGTAGGTAGTGAATGGGCCCCAGCAGATGATGAAGACGACAAAGAGAATCAAGATGGTAGTGAAGGCACGTGTCTTAAAGCTCATATCGATGCTCATCTGGAAAGGTCTCTGCAGACTCATGAGGCCCAGCTTGCTGGCTTGACTGAGGCATATGCCCTCAGGATAGCTATGGATTCGTACTGCATTGTGCCGCACAGTATTGAGGATGCCCATAAAAGAATACAGCATCATCAGGAAAGGAATAAAGAAAGAAATGAGGACCACCAGTATGACATAGGCCTGGTAGCCAGGGTTGGTGGTATAGCCAAACACACACTGAGGAGCTCTGGAAGGTATCTGCAGCTCTGGGTTGCCCACAGCCAAAGGGAACGCCACACAAAAGGAAGTGGCCCAAGAAATAGCAATGAGCATCTTGGCACGGTATGGGTTTAGCTTATCCTGCCTCTGAACTATAATCAGGAATCTGTCAATGCTGATAATTAGCAGGATGGCAACTCCTTCAATAACAAAGAGCCAGAAAAACATAGCAGACACCCTGCAGAAGACTTTCCCAAAAATCCACTGAGTTGTGAGAATAGTCACCAGGGCAAAGGGCATATTCAGCACTGCGAGCAACATATCTGCAAAAGCCAAGCTGGCAAGAAGGATGTTAATTGCAGAACGCATGGCAGCCTTCTGGTAGACCATAAGGCAGACAACAAAGTTCCCAAGAAAAGAAACCAGCAAAATAAAAATCATTATGGCAGAAAGAATGATCTGCAGAGGCAAGCTTAGGCTCTTAAAAGCTTCTGACGCTGAAGAGGCTGATGTACTATTCAAAGAACTGATCTCGGTTGTGGCCACGGTATCAGAGCCATGCCTCAGGGGTGACTCTATACCACCATGAAGGACAGACTGAGTTGTGGTAAAATTAACATAGGCATTTTCATAGATAACAAAAGTTGTGTTTACTGTCCCAGGATGGGCAGCTGCCAGCACCGCCGAGAAGACCATGATTTAATTCAGAAGGACAGAATGTTCAGCCCAAGATACCAGGGTCCTTGAAACATTTCACCACGGATCAGCAGATTCCATTTGGCCATCTTGGAAACACACGCCTGGAAACAGAGGCATTCCATCTTCCACAGCTGTCCATCTAACTGAAAATAAACCACAAAGGAAATCAATTAAATCTGAAATGAACAAAAACATTTTTTTCTTTAAATTTCTAATCTTACTTTTTTTTTAAGTTTTACTTTCCTTTGATACTCTGACTTGATTTCATCAGTGCGGTCACTACCCCCAGTAATAAAGATTATCACCTTCCCCACTACCCTCTCATCCATTTTATTATTAATTATTAATACTGAGTCATTTTTCTAACCTTATCAACAATGAAATACTGGTTTCTTATTTCTATATGTAAATTAAGATGGAGAAATTTCAGAGAATTTGTAATATCCTAAGGAAACAGAAAACATTTTTTTTATACCTTGTAACGCAATTTGGAAGATTACTTTTTATTTTATAATATATCATGGTGGACATTGGACAGAACATCGGACTTGGACTCAGGAACACCTGAATTCAAATCTAGCCTCAGATACTTACCAGCTTTGTGACCCTGGGTAAGTCACTTAGCTTCTGTTTACCTCAGTTTCCTCATCTGTAAAATGGGGATAATAATAGCACCTAGCTCCCAGGGTTAGTGGGAGGATCAGATCAGATAATAATTACAAAGTGGTCTCTGGCATGTAGTAAGCACTATAGAATGTTAGCTACAATTATTATTATTATTATTATTCTTTAAACCATAAATATGAAGATTCTAGATTTTACTATTTTGCTTTTCTGAGAACCCTGTCAGTCTGACAAATAACTCCCCCTCCCACCCCTAATCACTTGTCAGTGTTAATTTATTCATACCTGAATTTATTTGTCTTGCATGCTTTTCTTTCTTTAGTAATTCATCTTTAAAATAACTAAGTTGAATGCTACTGGGTAGGTCTCAAGCAAAAGTTATGAATTAAGGCATGTTGTAACACCTTTGTAGTGATTAGCCAATAGCCAGCTGAGAGCAAGAATGAAATACTGGATGGTTATCTAAGGGAAATGTGAAGGAAGTGTAGGGAAAGGTTGATGGGAGGGTAAAAAAAAACCAAAACACTTTTTTTTACTTAACCAGACCTATGGCTGACACTTTAAGGAGAGACTTTATTCAATTTATTTTTTATTATTATTTCATTATTATTCACAGAAAGGCCTGGGATCAAATCTTTCCTCTGACACATACTTGCCCAGCAATCCTGGACAAACCATCTAAGATCTTCTCAATCTTCCAGGCAGCTCTCTAAGACCAGAAGTTGCAAAGAAGATACAGACCTGCACTGGTAGAAGGAATTCCTTACCATGGGTGTTCACTAACCCTCTAAATGAAATTTAGCATTTTCTTCAAATGTTTAAAAAATATTATTCTAGAAAGGAGACCATAGGCTTCAAATAGAATGCCAAAAGGGTCAATGCCACACTCTCACACTCGTTAAGAACCCCTGCCCTATACCAAATCACAGGTCTAGTACCTGCCCTTATAACTGTAAAATATAAAATTAACATATGACATATGTTCCCTAGACTTCCCCAGAGAGACTGACAAAATGTTAACATCATGCCAAAACTGTCATAACTCAGACATTTGCACTACCAATAACTGGCAGGTGGAACAGTACTCAATTCTAAATCTAACCGACAAATACACTTTTATTGAATTAAGATACTTTTACCCATAATGCCAGTGGGGCAGAGCAGCCCTCACTAGTCCATTTTTAAACATTTTCTTTCTATAGTAGCCTATATTATATCTGTGAAGGTATAATCACAAAGCAAATCACTTCTATTATAACATGCTCTGAGAATTAAAGACTGAGAAATTAAAAAAAAAATGTAGGACTTAAAAAGTAGTTGTCTCAAGTGGCTTTGAAACACTTCAAGATCACAGACACATTAAGACCTAGCAGTCGGTCCACAAATAAGGAAATAACATATTCTTGCAGATGGGGAAGCTCACTTTTCTTCTGATTTTTGTAAAGAAGCAACCACAAAATTCATTTGAATTTCCCTACTTTATGTAAGTCAAATACAATAGAAAATCTTGTGAAGTCTTTTCAGAGTCTTCTATTTTTAAACCTAAAATGCAAGGCAGCATAGCATGATGGATACAGAGAAAGTCGAGAACTCTGAAAGACACGGGTCCAAGTCCTACCTCTGACACAGCCTGGCTTGTGTGTGACCTGAGGCAAGGCACTTAATTTCCCAGTGTTCTAGGTCCCTCTTGAAGACTCGGCCGTGGAGAAGTGCCAACCTACATTAGTGGAGGGAGCTTCCTCATCCAGGAATTCCCTACACCAGCAAAATTACAAAGTCCAGTCTTTATTCACATCCTCAGATGGAAACATTTTTAGCAAGATATTCATTTCCTCTGCTGCAAAACAAGGCGGATAGATTAGAGGATCTCCAAGATCCTTTCTGGACTGGTTGCATAATCATTTGTTAATGTAAGATCCTGTGCCTCAATTACAGGTGTTTGTAAATTAAAGGCAGATAGAAAGCTAAGAAGATAGAGTGCTGGACCTGCCTTCAGGAAGACCTGAGTTCAAATCCAAGCTTCAGACCCTTATTAGCTATGTGGTACTGGGCAAGTCATTTAACCTATTTGCCTCAGTTTCCTCACCTGTGAAACTGGCATAATAATAGTACCTACCTCTCAGGGTTGGTTTGAGGATAAAATGAGTTATTTGTAAGTGCTCTGCAAACATTATAAGCACTATATAGATGTTATTATTATTATTATTATTATTATTATTTCATTCGTTCTAATAGTCTAGTTCCATGTGAAGGTTAGCCATTCATACCCTCTAAGGAAAAATGTCATAAAATCACCACAAAGGTAATAGAATTACTATGCTAACAAGTAATCCTCATAATTTAGAAAAAATATCTATAAATTTGCTTTTACAGAATGCATCAGAGAATACCATCATCATTTTAATTTTTTCAGTCCAGTTCCAAGACCTCATTCACAAGGAATATTCCTAGTGTGGGGATCTCATCGTTAATCTAGATCAGTGACTTATCTGTCATTTATAGTCATTTAGAATTTTTTGGAGCAGTGAGGGGTAAAGTACTCCTGGTCACACAGCAAGTTGTATCAGAGACAGGACTGAAACCCAGTTGTTTCTGAATCCATGGCTTGTCCTTTTATCTACTAGGTGATACCTCCTCTCAATAATAACTGGCATTTGCACAGGACTTCAGAGTTCTGTAAAGCTCTTAAGAGACATGAACTCATTTGAGCCTTATAAGAGTGAGGTAGGTACTATGGGCATTATTATAACCATATAAGAAAGCAGGCACAGAGTGAATGATTAATTGACTGGTCCATGGTCACCCAATGAATAAGTATCAGAAGAATAATTTGAAGCCAGGTCTTTCCAACTTCAAGGGTAGTACTTTATCTGCTCTGTTACACTGCCTGGTCTTAGCTGTATCTCAATAAATACATTCCCACATTTGTTCATTTAGAATTCATTTTCTCTGCATTTGTCCTCTTTTCATTCCAGATCAACCTTCTACTTACAGAACATCAGTGTTCTGGATAACTGAATGTCTTAGCAAGGACCAGCTCAATTCCTAACTCCCAAGCTAATCTAAAAGTCATTTGCTAAGCACCTATTACAAGCAAGGCACCTTACTAGGCACTAGGGATATATAGATGAAATGGGGGGGGAGTCTCTGCCCACAAAGAACTTACTTACCTTCTACTGTGAGTTACAATAGGTAAACAGACAAGAATATGTTGGATAATTTAGGGAGGGAGAGATGGCTAAAGCTCAAGGGGTCAGAAAAGGTTTCCCGTAGGAGGTGGTACATCAACTGATGGGGGTTAAGAAGTAGAGATGAAGACACAGTGCATTCCAGGAATGACCCGGCCTAGGAGAAGCAAAAGCATAGATATAAGAAACATATCCCAACTTCAAGGAATAGCAAAAAGGTCAGTTTGGCTGGAATGTAGAATAAATAAAAAGGTAGAAAATAAGCCTGAAAAAGTAGCATGGAGCCAAAATTTGAATGGTTTTAAATGCCAAACTGAGGTGTTTACATTTTATCTTAGCAATAAGGAGAAGTGAGGATTTCTTGACTGAGAAATAATATGGTCAGTCTAGTTCATTAGGAAGATTACTCTAGCAGCTATGTGGAAGGTGGTTTAGAAGGGGTGAAAGATGACAAGCAGGGAATCTAACTGGGGGAGGCTACGATAGTCTAGGCTAAAGGTACTACCCATAAATCTTCCCCAATTATTCTAGCCCACTTAATAGATGCCAGGTAAATGATTAAACAGACCCTTTGCAAAAAGGCAGTTATCACACCTTAAATAAAACCACAGCAAAATGTTTGTGCTATTAGCCTTTATTGCCTCATCTTTCAATAATATAATTTTTTTCCACTAAAAGGGTGGTAGGGGGGAGTGATCATGAACGTTCTTTTCTTTGTTCTTCTGTCCAATTCCTAGATAACAGGGACAGAGGAGAGTCTTACATCTCTGTCTTGCCTTTTATTCTTAGCAAGCCCATCCTTGGTATATATATAGTGTTTTTGTACAGTCTTAGCCAGGTGGGAATCTCAATAAGCATCCTAGAGGTACCCTTCTGATCCTGCTCCCTTGCCTACATTTACATACTTCCTCACTGAAGTGGGATGTGAAAGAAAAAAAAAGAAAAAAAAAGACATAGGTTATAAGAAAATAATGAATGGAGATATACCAGACTATGAGCAAATGGGACTAGGACTATTACTAAAGGACATTTAAACGAAGAGACTAGGACTGGCAGAAGGAAATAAATGCTCAGGCCACATGTGACCCCCTACTCTGGGAGAGCTTGCATGGTGCAGTGGAAAAAATAATAACTGCCATTTGTATATCACTGAAAAACCTGCAAATCACTTTTTAGATGTAACCTCATTTGACGGCTCTCCTGGAAGGTGAGTACTACAGGTATTATCACCTCCATTCTGCAGATGTATACAATGAAGCCCATGGAGGCGAAAAATGACCTGCCCTAATTAAAATAGTAAGTATCATACACCTAGGTCTCAAACCTAAGTT